TACAGAGGAAAATATTTTAACAATAAGCAAGACATACACTTGCTCAGATACACACAGATATATCTAAGCCTCAAATACACACTTCTGATACTATCTTATAGTTGTAATCTCCTGACAAAGGCATTTATGATTTTTTTTTTCTTTTTGATACACCTTTCCACAACATTTTACTTGCATTCATATACACTGTTTATTACAGCAGCAATGAATAAAAAAAGGGATGGGGAAGGAAATCACCGAAATGTTACACATTAGAATATTTTAAAAGGCAAGGCAAATAGAATCTCTAATGAGAAAAGGGGTTAAACGGCACTCCAAAATGGTTAACTGAAATTTATAATTCTGTTATATGAATTATTAAAAAGTCACAGCAGTATTTTTTTTCCATTGAAGAGGTTGTAATAAATGCTAAGATGTTTATTTCAGCAGCAAAGGTTATAACGTGTCAGTAATCTCAGAGAAGAGTGAGACAAGAGCAAAATTCCAATCTACATTGTCTCTCTAACACCAAGCACGACTTACTTTTTTGTAGCGTTTAGTAGTTCTTTAAAGTTCTCCTTTACTCCGACTTTTTACCAAATACAGCTTGTCTTTTATTCGTATTATTATACCTTGATCACATAACTTTTGTCTGAAACTGTATGTGCTCAGACTGAATAGCACTTATGTAGCAATAATATCTCAAGCTCCTATATTAGAATCCCACCGGAGTGTTTAGCAACAACTTTGTTTAGACTCTTCCTTCCTGGAGAGTGACTCACCACCTGCTGTTCTGAAAGTCACAGGCTGCTCATGACTGCAATCTCAGCAGAGTCAGAATCAAATCACAGTTCCCAAGAACAACAGACTATACACATTAGCATCTCAGCATATTTAGCCACTATCAAAACAAGGCCCTGAACATCCATGGCAGGCGTACTGACTGAGAAACCATATATTTTCACTGGCAAGAACTCACGATGTTGCTGCTAGTTACTGACTTTCTTTATTTGGAATTGTTTAAAAGTGTATCAACCCCGTATTTTCACACTGGCATACAGAAATCTGTGGAAACGATCTGCTAAACAAAGCCAGTAAGTGTTATTATTCCAGCTTAGACCCACTCCTTCCAGCAAATATATTGACTACGACTGAGAATACATACTTGATTCTCAGGTTATTATGTTGCTACGCAGACCTGTTGTCTTTTGAAAAACAGGAAGCGACAAGCCTACCACTCAGAAGACAAGAAGCAGCCATCATTCTAAATTTAAGTTTTACACATCGACTGATTTTATATATATAGTACATATACTATATACACATATATACTCAAACACCACCACTAAGCTTTGAGACAGCAGGCATGCAAGAATGTTAAAACTCATCTGTGACAACAGTGCCACAAAACTGTCAATCTCAGTTCATGAGTTGAACTGGGAGTTCAAGAGTTAATATCAATGAATAAATATTGAAGTAAAAAAAAAAAAAAAATCCAGAAGATCTCTAGGGGTGGGTAATTTCCCTTTTCAGAAAATAACTGTTACCAAGAATGTGACAAAAGAGTTATCTAAAAAGGGAGTAATTTTTAACACCACAAACACTTGGCTTATGCAACCACGCTGAGGCTGCAGTTGGTGACATTACTGTATTACACTGTCAACAATAACTAAGATCAGTCACCACTGAATAGTAATGTCTAGTTTTGTCTGAACAGACATAGCTATCTGCTGCCTTCCTTTATACAGTACTTTGACACACACAAAATATCCTATGCCTTTATTTTTTGTAATTTAGCTCGATTAATTAATTGTAATTAATTGACACTTCACACAGTCAATTTATCACCCATATTTCCTTAGGAATAACTGCAACAGGAAACTACCTAACCTTCTGGATTCTTGTATACACAACCATCACTACTTTAAGGTGGCAAGTATCTTGAGATGTAACATAATACAATCCACACTTTCACAGATCATTAGCTCTCTATCAGAGTAACATTTGAGAGTCAATCGCAATATGTTTGCGTATTAGTTAAGCTTTATGCAGGCCCTGCTATATTATCTGGAATCAGATCCACAAAGCCAGGTATGTACATGTTTGGGTTTTTAAAGAAGGTTTAGATGCATTTTAACATCAGGTTATATATATGTAAACAAAAAAGGTATTTTCTTTCAGGGGTTTCCTATTTTTTATAAACCATAGAGCTAAAAAAATGCAACGGCTTCTCACACATGTATAAAAATATCTACTTCAGCCAACAACACTTGATCTTAGACCTGCTTTCACTTTTCACAACAACAACACATCAGCTGTACAGTCCTTGTGCTTATCAATAAAGTAAACTGTTTGACAAACATTCCTTGGCAAATCTTGCTGTGACAGTTTATGATGTCATCAACTACCAGCCATCCACCCAAACCCTCTGCTGGAAATTTGCCCCCTTTCAGTATTAGTAAATCAAGCAATGCATTTATTTTATTTTATTTTGAGCACGTGCTTGTATGTAGGCAACCATATCAAGCAGGAAATGCCCTGCAGGACCAAAAGGCAAATAAATAATTTCTCCATCATGAAATGCAGATAAATGTCTTCAACAAATGATCTTTTCTCCACAAAGGGAGATGCATAAAACCCGCCACATCTAGCAAATGACTGTTTCCTTTCCCAACATCTCAACCATGAACACACAAATACTGTAGTAAATGCGATTCTGAAAGCCTTGTGCTGGTCTCACAAGTGAAGTAATTCTTACTGAATTGTTGTACTGAAAACTGAACAGTGCTTCTTTCACAATTTCTCAAAGTTCTATTACTTACCAATCACTTGTAGAAATTCAGTGTTGCTGATCTGTGAATCACTAATGCTAAAGGTCTCTTCTTGTCTCACCTCTCCTAGCAGAAATCCTTCCTATAATTTTAAAGGAAAAAAAAGAAAACTAAAAATAGAAAACAACCCACTATACACAGTCATTTACCATAACTTTGTTGGCATTAAACGGAAGAAATAAACCAAAGATTTAGTTTGAAATACATATCTGAGCTGCAGCAGGTGTATAACCTGTCCTTCGGTTTACAGAGACCGATTTTCTGATTTACCAACACCCTTCCACAACACTACAGGAAGAGGTTGTCCAAAACCAATATTCCACCAAAAACTTCCATAGGTAACACGCAACTGATAGGAGGCAAACACAGATTACGTAAAGGAGCGCTCTGCCTCCAGTCCCTGCTACGCAGGCAGAGGGTGGATGAGGAGGAGCACTGCTCGGTTCCTTCAAAGCAAAGGGGAAGCGGAGTTTACATCTGCAGAAGCTTTCTCAAAACTTACATACGGAGGTTGGGCTGCACCTTGAACAATACCAGGGATCATAACACTCAGAAGATAACTAACTTAAAATGTTCTTTGATCCTCCATCCCCGCCCAACAGGAGGAAGGAGAATAAGCGGGCATCAGGCGCTTTTGGCACAAGCACTGAAACGGCGGTGCGTCGTTGCCTGGTGCAGAGATAAGGGAGCAAGCTCAGACTAGAAGTTTCTCAGCAAAACATCGGGATTTAGAAACGCCCCGGTGTCTGGAAAGCCAGCGCTACCGCAACGTACACGCACACTCACGCGGCTTTTCCACACGCGTTTTCTCGCTCACAGCCCATCTCCCGAGTGCCAGACGAGAACCCCACGCCGGCGGGGGACAGCCCCCGGCGCCCCACGTCCAGACCAGCCATTCGCCAGACCGGCAGGGCGGCCGAGGGTCTGCAAGTCCCCCCCCCACACACATATACCCCCCCCTCCGAGCCGGGACCCAGCGGCACCGCACGGCCACCCCTGCCGCCGAGGAGCGCCTCCACCTCGCCGGCAGAAGCCGAGCGAGGCCGCTACCCCCGGCCGGGACCCGACCGGCGGCAACGGGGCCCGGCCCGGCCCGCTGCTCGGGGAAGGAAGCGAACCCTACAACCCGAGAGAAGCCTCGCCTCGCCTCACCGCGCCGGGAGGCGGCAGTCCCGGGTACCTACGTGGTCGGCGCTGCTGTTGGCGCTGTAGTAGCAGACGGAACTGAACGTGTAGCCCGAGATGGAAGCCGCCATGATGGGAGACCACCGCCGCCGCCGCCGAGCCCCACAAGCCACCGCGAGAGCCCGCGGCCCCGCCCACTTCCGGCAGAAGCCCCCACGTGGGGTCTTCTGGGAAATGTAGTCCCGCCCAACACAGGGACAAGGCCGCCATTCCGGGCTGCTGAGGCGGGGCGGGGGGCGAAGGCCGAGACCCAGCTCCGTGGGGCAGGGAGAGAGCTGGGCCGTTTGGGCTGGGCCCTGCGGCCTCCTGGCAGGCTGGGCTGGGTGGCCTTCACCCGAGCCTGACGCCTGCCATGCCCCTAGGCTTGCGGTGGGATGTGTACCCAGGGGCCGGCAAGCGTTAGCTCGCTGAGAGGAGCGAGCATCTCCAGGCGACAACTCGTTTGCCAAACCAGTGAGATTGCAGGAGGCAGTTGAGTATTTTGTGCGGGTTTTGAAGGGCTGGGCAAGAAGTCGCAGAGGAGGAGCGGTACGGGAGCTGACGGGGCAGCAGTGCCCTTCGTCACTCCCAGTCTGTTGGATTTTTCAGTTTGGGCACTCCGTTATGGGATGTTTTAGGCCCCCCAGGATTCTTCTGTCCCTCTTTTGCTTCGCAAAAGAAAAAAGTTTCGGCTCTGATTTTGCGGACAGCGTCCTGTCGACATCCCGCCACGCTCCTGGTGTCGCAGGTGCCTGCCGGTTTCACTCCAGCCCAGCTATTTCCCTGCACAGATCATCCAGCAGCAGGCTGGAAAATCCGGTCATCTGGACCGTTACCGTTCCTTAGAAACAAAACTATAAAACGCTTCGAATTTTTTGAGGGAACTGGGCACCCCCCCACCATGCTCCGCAGACTTCGGCCGCGGGCAGCGAGAAACAGTCCTCCAAGCGCCAGAGCGGCGGCCGCGGGCCCTCTCTCAGGTGCTCTCTATGGTGCCGAGGTGCTTCCGGGCCGTGCGGGCCCGGCATGGCGGCGGCGATGGCGGTGGCCGGGGAGCGGCCCGGGCGCCCCGCAGAGCCGGGGCCGGGGCGCGGGGAAGAGCCCTTCAGCCCCTCGGTGCTGGGCACCAGAGAGCAGTGAGTGGCGGCACAGCCGCCGTGGGCGGGCGGGGGGCGGCGGGCGGCGGTGGCGGCCCAGTCGGGGTTTATCCCGGTGGCTCTCCGGTGGTGCTGCCCGGGGAGCAGGAGGCCAGTGCTGTGCCCCAGATACTCTCGTCTGGTAACCCTAAGGCTTTCTTTTCGGGGCATCGCCAGCTCGGTGCCAGGCGGACAACGTGTTCCCGAGCAGTTTATCTATCTAGATGATACCGCGAACATAAAGTGGCACTGCTGCATAGATCCAGCCTTCTCGCCCCTTCTTCTCCTCGCTCTTTAATCTGAATCTTTCCCAGTATTAATTGCAATATCCTGTTCTTTCCCCCCGACTCTAGCTGGGATGCTGCATATGAAAGAGAACTGCAAACTTTTCAAGACATTGGAGATGCTGGGGAAATTTGGTAAATAAAATAACTCCACAAACTTTTCAAGACATTGGAGATGCTGGGGAAATTTGGTAAATAAAATAACTCACCAGAGTGTTTCTATTATGTCTTTATAAAAGTAGACATTGCAAGAACAGAGCCAGCAATTCAGTGGGTTACCGAATTGTTCTGGATGTTGGCAAAATGGTGGGGAATTTTAATCTTGAAGCCACCAGTTCCTCTCTTGCCCAATTTTGCAATGAGGATTTCTAAGTTGCACTTGGACAGCTGTTCTTTCACAGAAAGTGAGCTGGTAGTTGTGGTGTGTGTTACTAACAAAGGTGCTTTTTATCCCCAAGCTCAGGTTTAACTGCTCAAGTGGCTGGTGCTGCCACCTCTTCTAATATATGGAGGGCTTCGCCTCTCAGAGTTGGTGTTTTGGTTAATTTTAAGGCCATGTGATTAATTTTAATTTAAACAAACGTGAAATATGAGCTATGGCAGTTGTTACCCAAGTGCTTCAGTAAGAGATGCTTTGCAAAAGCTGGAGAGAGAGCAATGAAATAAATTTGCTGTACCTTTTGTACATTTTTGCTATCTTAATTACCTGAACCCTCCTTTTTCATAGGTTTGGAGAAGAAAGCATGATTCGCATAATCAAATGGTTGGAAAAACAAAAGGTCCCCCATGACAGCCCTGTGCTTGATATTGGAACTGGAAACGGTGTTTTACTGATTGAATTGGTTGGTATATTGCAAAGTTTGTGCTTTTGATACAGAATCAGTGCTCCAAAAGTAGTAGTTTAAATACAGTTCTCACAAGTGACAATAGTAATCGTACCAAGCTGTAATTTACGTGAAAGACATAAAGCAAGCAGCCTAAATTAAAACTTACATTGTGTTTTTTTCACATCAACAGAACAATGGTTGCTGTGCATCAGGTTTTATATTTCCATTTGGTTTAAAAGTATAAGTGAAATTAACTTAGTGCTGCTGATACGCCTTAAAGAACATCCTGTCACAAAGACAAGGCATAATTGCAGGTGGCGGCTAGACAGCCTGTGGGCCTTAGGTATGTAACTCCTTGAACCAGAAGTGCCATTAGGAGGTGCAGACCTAGGAACGGAACATGTATATTGTTCTCCCAAATGGAAATATCTAATTTTTTTGCTAGACATGCTTAGACTTCTTGTTTCTTGGTGCTGCCCAGAGTGTCAATACTTCAGATCTCAAAATTTACAGTATTTTTTAAAATTAATCAGCCCGAGTATCACTTATTTTAACTTTACCTTTCTGTTTTCCTACGTTTAAAAATGCATTTTTCCCATTGTTGCGTAAAACACCCCCAAATAAGGAAATTAACTTGACTAATACACAGAGTACTCTCATGTGCAAAACTAGACCTGTTCTCTGCACTCAGTTCTGATAATAACACTCATTATCGATGTAAAAAGTGGTTAAAACCAAGGTTTTAATGTAAATGACTTTAAAAGTTCTTAACGCTTCTTTTCAAGAAGTGTCCATTTCTGTCAGGGTGGAAACCCCTTACAGATATGTTCTAAAGTGTTATAATGTTGTTATTATACAGTGATACAAGATCTTTAGGATTTCCAGTATTTTTTTTTCTCCTATTTTTGATTGAATACGTTGGTATAATACTACAGAAGAATAGGTAAAGAAAGGAGCTGTTAATACTGCCGCAGTTTCTATTGTTCTACATTCTCCATTGGCTCCATTAGTTACTGTAGAAATCAAAAGGGCTGCAAGTCAAAGTCAGGTTAGTAATGGCGTTTTTTTTAACGTGGACTTCGATTTTAGAAGAGTTTAAAGCCTTTCTGGGGACTGGCTGCTACACTGCAGCACAGAAGTTTGTCATTAAGAGAAATTAGCCTAATCATTGTTAAATGCAATGCTAGCTAGCTCTATCATTGTTGAAACATCCAACAGAAAAATCTTATTATTTATAATACTTCAATTTTATACTGGCCCCACTTACAAATCTGAAATTTATTTTCATTCTGTAATGGGAAATGACAGCCTGTTAGCTCTTAGAAACGATTAAACTGCTGTAAGAGCACCCTCCCCCCTTACATTACGCACCTCAAAGTACTGTGGTTGCTTTAATAGGAAATTTTCAGTCCAGTTCCCATTTGAAAAGTGACTTCAAAAATTACATTGTTTATTGGTGCTAAATAATTCAGGATCTCACTTGCTTAGTTGATGTAACAGAAATTTTTTTGTGTGTTAGCTGCTAGGCTTTGAAAATTGGGTTAGGATTCTTTCGGCAAGCCCATCAGCTACCGTAGAACAGTTCTACCATTGGCGTTGGACTTGATAACATGATAGAAATGGCAGCACTGAAAAAGGCAGTCAAACTTCAGTCATATAGGACATCAGCAGCACCTCTCTAAAAGGTAGCTACTTGAGAGTATGTGTCAGACCGTCGTCAGAACAGGAGGAGGTACCAGAGAGTACAGTTCATTGGGAAATACTGGGCCCTGGCATGCCATTAACAGTGAAGAAAAGTAAACGGGAGTGTAGTAACAAAATTACTCTTACACGCAGCTGGGACTAGGTGAGACATTGTCAGTTCCAGCAGGGAATATTGCACAAAAAGGAGGCAGAATAGCCTTCTGAAAAGCAGGTAATAAATAAGGTGAAAATAAGGGAGACTGCTGTATCCTGTGCAGACTGGCTCCACTACTCAGCTAGAAGGCAAAACATCCAGCAAACTGCTAAATGTCTTCTACACGCCCATTGCAAGGATCTGCCCATCTGTAAGCTCCAAGCGAAATGCCACTGGAGGCTTCCTCTCTCCTTTCTGCTTGCTTTGAGGATTTTGGATATGTAAGTGGGACCCCTTGCTGGTTTTGTATATGCAGTAGACCATGGACCTACCACTGGTAACTTCAGGAATCTGGTAGGCTGCATTGATGACCTCATTGTTTTGCTTTCCAAAAATTCCAGCTCCTCTGAGGAAATGTTGCTGCCACATCAAGCTCTGACCTTCTCTTTTTTTCTGAGTATTGTGGGAGCCAACAGTATTGAAAAACTTCTCCAAAGTGAAGGGTACTCACCACCCAAGTGAGGGTGTCTACCTGGCAGCACCAGAGGCCGGAACACGGGGCAGTGCTGATAACATTGCAAACTACCTTCTGCTATTTAATCTGCTTTTTCAAGAAGCAGCAGAAGAGTGCTTATAAATACCACCTTCAGGACAGGAGTCCAGTTGCGGGTTGCAGCGCAGTCACATTTAGCACTTGAGTGAATGATCCCTTCTCGTCCATACGTAGTCAGGCCGTACAGGTTTAGCAGCATTTAATATTGTTTATCCTTAAACTTTCCTTCTCTGCCCTGGAGACTATAGGATTGAATGGGAACTCCCTGAAGTGACTCAAGCTCTTCCTTTCCAAACAGAGGAGCTGTTGTGGGAACTACTCTTCCACCCCCAAGTCTTCAGCACAGGCATCTCAGGAAGCTTGGTTTGCTCTGGGGAGGAACGTGGGCAGAAGCCTGAGCAATATGCTGTTCTTCATCAAATGCAAACAACATGGTCTTTGTGTTTAGCTGGAACTAGTCCTCGATTAAGAACAGCTGGCTAGTACTGAGCTCACATGGGCTGACGGGCTGCTGGAAGGAGGAAGGACCATTTTAAAAAATTCTTCTTGTAGTTTTCCTCACTGTCAAGCTATCAGCCTTTGGAACAAGTAGATACACAGCTGATTGCTTAATGCTAGTTAAAGTCCGTGTATTGTTTAAAACCCAAACAAACCCAAGCCTCGTCCTTCTCTCTGCTGTTTACTGCCTGCAGCTGGCCATAAGATCATAGCTCTTCATGTTAGGTTTGGATCTAGCCAGACCAACTGACACACATGGTACGCAGATCTGGTCACTCCAGCTTCTGCCTCAGAGTGAAAATCTGTCACTCCCCCCCACCCATGGTCCCTCAACTCCTGCTTTGCAAAAGGGTTGCTAGGATCTCACTGCCTGAGTTTGCTGAACTGGGTTATCATTATCTGCTCCAAAGTTAGACTAACAGAAAGTCTCTGTATGCTCTTTTATGTGGTGCTGATACGAAGACCTTGTAGCATGCAAATAATTACATTCAAATAGCCATTAGCATGAATAATTAGAAAAATGTAAGATTTTGCAGTGGATTGCTGTACTAGTAAAATGTGTTACATATTTTGGCTCTTATAATTTGGTTTATAAACCAAATAATTGCTCAATCTCAAATGTTATGTAAGTGTCCTGGTTTCAGCTGGGATAGGGTTAATTTTCTTTCTAGTAGCTGGTATAGTGTTATATTTTGGGTTCAGTATGAGAAGAATGTTGATAACACACTCACACTGATGTTTTCAGTTGTTGCCAAGTAGTGTTTATCCCAAGTCAAGGATTTTTCAGCTTCTGATGCCCAGCCAGCAAGAAGGCTGGAGGGGCACAAGAAATTGGGAGGGGACACAGCCAGGACAGCTGACCCAAACTGGCCAAAGGGATATTCCATACCATGTGACGTCATGCCCAGTATATAAACTGGGGGGAGTTGGCCTGGGGGTGGGGCTTGGGAACTAACTGGGCATTGGTAGGCGGATGGTGAGCAATTGCCTTGTGCATCACTTGTTTTGTATATTCCAATCCTTTTATTATTATTGTAATTTTATTATTGTTGTTATTATTATTATGTTTCTTCCTTTCTGTTCTACTAAACTCTTCTTATCTCAACCCACGAGATTTACTATTTTTTTCCTGATTCTCTCCCCCATCCCACTGGGTGGGGTGGGGAGTGAGTGAGTGGCTGCGTGGTGCTTAGTTACCGACTGGGGTTAAACCACAACAGTGTCAGAGAGGTTTTCTTCTTATTTTGAAGCATCTGGCATTGGCACATGTTTTCATCACTGAAAATTCCTGGTTTCTAGGTTACTTTTGGTACAGATAAGAGAGCCTGTTCCCCTACAGGGTGTTACTTTTCACAGTTCTGCTCAGTTTTCCACTTGTTGACATAAACCAGCTTTCAGTCAACAGTTCTTTTGATGAGGTATTAGGCAGAATGGAGTTATTTCAGCTCATTCCCCTAGCTATTTAGCTCTTGTAATGGTAACAGGAATAAAACTGAATAAATTGGGTTTTTTTCCCTGTCCTTAAGAGGAGGAGAGATGAGATGGATTATAGATAGGGAATACACTTGTTGGATTAAAAAATTGCTAGCACACTGATTAAGATTCTCTGTTTCTGTCTAGGCAAAGTCTGGCTACACGAATCTCACTGGGATCGATTACTCTCCTTCTGCAATACAACTTTCAGAAAAAGTAAGAGAGAAAGAAGGGATGTCTGACATTAAATTAAAGGTAAGTTTTGAGAGAAAGTTTAGTGAGGAAATAGAAAGCAATTGAACCCAAGATTAAATGACCTAATTGATACTTGGGTGTACTCAGTGTACTATATTAATGATGTCTTTTGACATTCATTTGTGAGAGAACTATTAACCAAATAAATCTGTTTTTACAAGAAGATTTTTGGTCTTTTTTTTTTTTTTCCCGTTTCTAATAGTCATTAGAGCTAACAAGACTTCCCTGCTTCTAGCAGGGAGCAGAATAGTAGATTGCCATTGGCCAAGTCTGTATTTTAGCTGCTACATTCTGAATTTCAGATTTGAGATAGAGGATGAAACCCTTAAGTGACAGAATCCCTACCAGTAGCTGTGCAGCAGGAAGTTTGAGAGGCCCTGCTGGAGCAGGGGCTAGGACCAGATGACCTCCAGAGGTCCCTTCCAACCTCAGCCATCCTGTGATTCTCTGACTGCCTTTCATTCTGGGCTCTCTCTCTGCTATGCTGTTTTATCCTCCAGCTCTGTACCTGTATGATGTCTCTGTTCCTGTATGTCAGTGGTAATCTCTTCATGGCAGGCACTGTCTATTCTTCTGTGTTTGTACAGTGCTTAGCATGCAGCACCTAGGAAACCAGGGATCAAAGTACAAATAATGATTTAAAGAATGAACTTCAAGTGTGTTAGTTTGAGCTTTAGATGGGTAGGTGTATACATGGGCTTTACAGCAAATAGATCATCACATAATATGTAGAGAAGAAAGAAGCTGACAGGACATTATAAGTGTGATAAGCCTGTGAGTAACCTTTTCCTAAGCACACCTATTGATAGGTTTGAGGCTTTTTATTTTAAAGTATTGGTTTGCTTTAAAGATTCAGGAACTCCTAAGAAGAAGATTGTTTTCACAGTTGTAGACTTCTGGTTTAGGTAGAAGACTTCCTGGCTCCATCAGATGAGCTGTCAGGATTTGAGATTTGTATTGACAAGGGGACTTTTGATGCCATAAGCCTTAATCCTGATAACGCGGTGGGAAAGAGGAAGCAGTACGTGAGATCTCTCTGCAGTGTATTGAAACCAGAGGGCTTTTTCCTCATAACGTCTTGCAACTGGACCAAGGAGGAGCTGTTGAACGAGTTCAGAGAAGGTAAGCAGTTGAACAGAACCATGTGCCAAATTATGGTTGTTCAAGGATGCGATGGGTGAATTTTAATGTCTATGTTAGTGTGTTGGCTTTCTCAGATCAGGATTAGACAATATAAAGTGACTAGTAAATGCTTCAGCCTGTCTTGCCTATGTTTTCCTCAGGAATTACAGCTTCTGCATTTGCCAGTGCCAGCGTGCCAGGGGAGGACAGGTTTTGTTGTATTTTGGAGGATGAGGATTTCAGTCTAGTTACACTGGGAAAGTGTATACCCGGGTGATACTTTATCGGTTCTTTATTACCAGATCCAGTTCACCCATCCAATTGCTTTGAAATCGGGGTAACATTGTTACCCTTGTTTAGGGGAACTGGCAAGTCTGTGACCGCAACCTTTTCCGTCACCTCCTCAGCGACCTTTCTGATCCACCCAGGAGGGTGGGTTTTTTTACATGCCTCTTAGCTCCTGAGTCTCATGCCTGAGGCTTGAAACTCAGTGTGGATCTAAAACAACCGTCCCTTCTGGGGAACTAAAATTACTGGCAAGTTATCATCTTTTCTGCCATTAATTTGTGTGAGTCAGCCAGCTAAGATTTTTATTATCCGTGGAAGGGTTTCAGCTGTATAAAGCAGTGGTGCAGTGTAACAATACAGTCCTATAAACTTACAGAGTGACTGACTTGCAAGCTTTCCAGACGAATAAAGAATGGTTTGCAAAGGGTTATCCAAAAGGAGAATAAAATTACTTCCTTCTAATAAAAGCATTTTAATTTCTGTCTGGCAGGATTTGAAATTCTGGAGGAGCTGCCAACACCCAAGTTTTGCTTTGGAGGAAGAATTGGAAACAGTGTAACAGCATTGGTTTTCCAAAGGAAAAAAGTGAGGCCATCCATCTTGGACAAATTAGATTAGTTGAGAAAAGCCTGAACTTTAAACCTGACAGAAAACCTCAGACACGTGTGTAAATAAATGCTCTTTGAGTACACAGTAAAATACTCTGTATGGAACTCTAAGGGACTATAAAACATTGCCCTAGAAACATTTCAGCTTTGCATAACTTGCCCGTAAATTTTGTCCTTGCTGCAACCTCACTTGTTTTAGGGAAGCTGCAAGTTTGTAAGTGAGAGAGAAATAAGGCATTCTAAATACAGAGACTAATATAACTGAGTGATATTTGTGTTTGGAACACAAAGATTCTCTGGTATTTAATTTCTGTATTGGTAATCAGTGACCAATAGAGGCAAAGGTATTCTACAAAACAAAAATCTCATTTCTCTGTTGTGTGGTGTAATAAGCAACAAGCTTTTGCAATGTAAGTGCCGGATCTTCTGTTTTTTTCTTAGGTGAATATGAGTGTAGCTGTTAAGGGGGGAAACGGATATAAAAGCCATAGCACTTGCAAAAAAGGACCAGTTAGTGCTTTAAATTCAGATTTTTGGAGATTCTCAGACTCAGCATAGTTTTGTCTCTGCTGATATAGCTCAAATCTTTTCCCACGGAGGGAGCGTTTTTAAAAATCTCACTTGCCTGAATGTGTGCATGCTTCATCAGTTATTTTCACTGATCTCATAAATATATAAAGGTGTGATGTTACAGTCTCACTAGCATGTGACATATGCCTCCTTCATTATAAATTTGCTACATAGTAATGTCTTAAGAGCCAACGACCGCATGTTTTCCAGTGAATTTCTCAGGACAAACTTTAGCTGCATAAATCCAAAAGAATTCAAAGCATAACTATCCATTCCTTTTTCCTTTTTTAATTTGTTTTTAAACCTCTGCATGCGATCCTTTTGCTTAATTTCTTTGCCTTTATTTCTTGTGTTGTTTTGTATTTTCAGAACACTACTATTGCATGAAAGGTAGGAAAATGAGTTTTCTTTATGCCTTGACAGACACATTTGCAGGTGACAATCAACTTGTTCTTTCAAACATCAAGGAGGCCCTATTAGGCAATCAGGTTTTGTTTCACAGGCAAGGTCATGCTTGCTTATCAGAGAATTGCTTCTCCTAGTTTCCAGACTTCTAGTTTCCAGGGTTCAGGAGATCTTTAAGGGCTCAAGAAATACTTCTAGTCCTTTCCCAGGATAGGAAATGAGGCATTATTTGCACAGTGGTGAGTCCGCCCTCTGTGATCCATCTGGTGATGTCTTCAAGGTAGCAATCCTAAATTTTACATCTTTTTGAAAATGGGATATACTGGTTCCACTGGAAGAATGGTCTATCACCAGTGGTGAGAAAGTTTAGTCCCAGTGAATAGCTCTTTGCATATTTGGTCAGGCTTGCGTTCCCAGCTTGAGTGTCAAAACCACGGTCTTGTTATCATTTGGGTGACTATTGTAGTACGACATACTGCATCTGCCCAGCAGGCTTCCAGCAGCCGACAGGAGTGCTATGAAATGTAAGTAGTAATTCAGACAGAGGATTTTTTTGATGGAGTAGTACAAAGGAGTCGAAGTACACTTATGATAACAACCTCAATAAAAAGTCTATGACATTTTTTTAGCCAATTTGGCATCAGGTAGAGTTAATACAAGCAAATTTTAATTGGCAAGTACTCTGGCAGGATGCGTTTAGGGCATCTGTTTTATTCCTATCTGTAATTTTTGCTAACGAAAGCATGATATATATTTAATCATGGAATGAAAATAAAGTCATGGCTGTCATGGATTTTCTTTAATCAATTAGGAGGAATTTAACTACAGATTCACACTCCAAAAGATATGTAAGGATCAGGACAAGTATTTTCTCCTCTTCATAGGACTGATTATCATTAGATTTCTGTCCTCTAGGTAGTATTTTTATATCATTTGTAAAGCTAAAAATAAGCTTCCTAAAACGGTTACACAGAAATTTTAGCATCAGAAATCATCTAAGTGTGTCATGCAAGTTGTATGATCAACCACTTTCAATTAGTATCTTTAGCGAGGCATTTGGAAGCAATGATAGTAATTCACTATTTTCTCTTGCTATTATGTTGCTGTTTTCCAAATGTTCTGGACAGCTATTGTATTTCTTTTTGGAATTATTTCCTCCTATATGAATACATTTGCTATCAGGGAGGCTTCTTAGAGGTGAGGAAAGGCTGAGAACCAAACATCTCTTCCAGGCTACCTCATTATTTGCCCAAGTTCATGGATTATTGAGAGCTTCCACTTCAAGCATTTCCCTACCGCTTCTGGGCTGTATATAGCTCCATAGGCAGCAAGTCTTCAGAGATGCGGTTCTTCTGCTTTACCTTTGGCATTACGGGGTCCAGTCATAAGGTGGAGATACACACACTAACGTCACCACTAAAATGTCATCCTGCTGCCCAAAGGTGTCACGGGCCTATTGTCGGGAGTCTTAAATGCTAGTTGTCTGAAGGAGTTTGGGACAGGAACATGTTTTCGCCATGGAGAAGGGTCCGGGCTTTGGCCGTAGGCAGTCGTCTTCACATCTTTGTGTTGTTCTGGGGCAGAATTCCCGTGCCTATCTGCTTCTCAGGTCAGTATAAAAGTTTTCTAGTAACATGCTCAATAAAGCTGAAAAGAGCAAGCCTGCAGATAGGTGCCTTTATAGGGAGGATGGGTAGGGAGTGGAAAAATGGAGCGGCTCTCACACCTGGAAAGGTTTTGATTCCTCAATTTGTCAAGGCCCCTCTTTAGCCTCAAACAAGCACACAAGCTATTGCTTGAAACTAAGGATTTCTGCATCCGAGTTTGCATATTCTTTCACAGGCCCAAGCACTTTCAAGTATCACTGGAGAGTAGAAAAATGCTTGTTAAACATGTTTTAGAAGATTTATTTTAAGGCAATAATAACCAAAGGCTTACTGTTTAAAATCTGCTCTGTTGGAAACCTGGTATTTTATGCATAATGGAGTCTAGGGAGGAGCTTTAATACTGACTTAAGCAATGGCTTTTTTCTGACTAGTAGGATTTGGAAATGACATGTCAAAGAATGTCCTTGATTTGGGGCAGTTCATCTTGCTAGATGGTTCTTCATGAAGGTGTGATCTCTAAATGTTGATGCTTTTCAGTGAAACACCTCTTGAAAAAAAAAAAAGGAGGCAGAGGAATAAGCAGTGAGTTAGGAGGAGTGAGTCTTTGCTTGTAGTTTGGGCAGTGCTTCATGGTAGGTCATGAAGGCTGGTATCTTCATGACTACACGGTTGCGTGGCTCTTGGTTTCAGCTGCAACGCCAGACTACAGGAGAATAAATGCAGCCTTTGAAATATGTTCTACTGGTATTGTTTTGCTATCTGAGGACTGTGTATGTGATTCCTCTGTGAAACATGAGGTTTGTGGGTAGTAAAACTGACATCTTCTGTGGATCTCAGCAGCAGTTGAGCCCGCAGACTATTCTTGCAGTACCAACATCTGTGTTTGGCGCAGCTCAGACATCCGATACCTGACTCTTGATACGTGCTATTGCCAAGCAAACCACATTTAGGGATTCTCTTTTTTAGGCATTTACTGAGAGAGGCCATTGTAGTTGTTGTGGGGCTTGTACTACCGAAAGAGCTTGCAGCAATTTATGCTGGATTTTTACAGGGTGTATCAGGGATGTGAACTGTCAGGATGAAATACCTGAAAGAGGAGACCAAGTGAAATTAAGGAAATAAGTATTGATTTGAGATGTCAGATCTAGGGGAGTTTCTACACATGGGACTCTGCTAGAGCGTAGGGTAAATAGGTTCTCAAGACAAAAAGCCTTTGCCCTTTCAGCATCACAGTACCTTCTTGATGTAAATATTTGTATAATCATGTTTATATAAATTAAAAAGTGAGAAATACCAGACATGAAAATCATGACGCAACTGAATGAACACAGAAAATTCAGAGGGAAGGGTAATGTTCCCTTACTCCTTGACTTCCCTCTTGGTGACCAACTTGTTATTTATAAGAAAGTGTGTTCATTTAACAGTCCTTAAGGAGCCGAAATAGTCAACTGCATTGCTGTCTGTAGGCTGTTTTTTAAATGTTAATTTTTTTGGAAGGCTTAGAAGATACGGAATTAATATTCTGTTCTTGAACTTAAGTGTAATTCTGTAGTCTAAAATGAAGAATTTCTGGGAGCTACAATTTTTTTGAAGAGCTGTTGGGTTATGTCAGAAATACTAACAGAATTATGGCAGCTGCTCTTCCAGACAGGGCCAGCAATGATGAAGCATAAAATTATAGGCTTTCTATCCTCTCAGGAGAATATTTCTTCAAGTCATTATCGAGAGCATCAGGTTGAAATAAGTGTTTGCGTTATGGGCTCACCCTCTTGATTTCAAAACCAATGTTGCAGCACCATTTCTGAAAACCAGGAATGGCCAGCTGCCTTGATTGTATCGTAGGATTTAGGGTATTTGACACCTATAGCGACAGGAGACTCTCAGCTTTTTTTACTTTCTATTTTTCAAAATGATTTTAAAAAGGAGCCTTCAGATGTTTGGGGTTTTAATCCTGCCATTGCTATTTACAGGACAGCTGGTTATACCTGAGTTAAGAAGTGCGTGTCCCACCACACAGGTCTCAGGTGGGAGAGTCTCCGGAGAACAAATAAAGTGTGCAATAAACAGTGGTGTGAGCAGACTGCCCTACACCTTCAGTGCAATAATAAGGTATTTCAAAGATTGATCATAGGATACCAGTATGGAAGCTGTGTCTGCCGTACAGGATTTGCTGTACGGAACCAGAGCACTCTCTGAGGCTGGGCTGACGTCTTCACAGCGTTTGCATTATCCTTGTCTCTAAGTAATGAAAAAAGTTCTCTTCTGAGGGAACATGTCTGTGGCTAGAAATGGAGATGTTCTCTCATATAAATTGTGTCCAAATTATTTCAGTTCTGCACAGGTTTCTGGTGCAGGCTGTGACATTGGTGGGGCTGAAGGGTCAAAGGCCTGAATGGGCAAATGAGGTGATGAACTGAGACCACTCACTTAGCACAACTGGGCTTTGCATCCAGGTGTGCAGAGTGAAGCCACGTGTGTGAGGTGGATGGATACTCGTGAAGCTATGAAGCTGCTCTTGGCAGCTTCTCTGGAGTTATTTTTACGTAAGGATGAGTTCTGGAATAGCTTTTCTGGTACATTAGGCACAGCATGCTTTTCTTCATCGCTGACACTGGCTTCCATGTATTTCCACGTTCCAGGAATGCACTGGCAGCACTGTAGCCATTGTGAGGAAAATCTGCATATATATACTCCGCTATGTCCGTTCTACAGTGTTCCAGGATGCCTGGTAAAAGGCTGCCAAAATTTATGTTATTTCATACCAGACAAAATCTTTAAGTATGGTATTTAGCAACATACAGCAAAATTTTCAGTGTTTTGGCACTCGGATTGCTTTCCTAATCTTGGCATGCCGAAAGGTAAAGAACACAACTTGCTACAACAATAACTGCTTTATTTTATAGGCCCTCTAAGCATTTTAACATATCGAATCGTCTCCTGTAAAATATGTGGAGAGCACATAGAAAATAATCAGGCCAGGGCTTTGCGTTGCCGTAAGGAGATCTGCCTTTGTGCTCCCATTGCTCGCTGCCTTTTCTGGGGTAAGAGGAGAGGAAGGCTGCGCAGCGTTACCTACCCCTTGGCCGAACGGGTGGTACGGACACCTGTGGAGGGGATGGCTTTATCGTATGCCTTGGCTGGAAGTACGTTGAGCCTGACCTAACCCTTGTGGGTAGCAGCTAAATTGAGGAACAATTAATGGATACCTAGGGCTTTCAGTGAAAGGGGATGAGGTGTTATAGCTTCAAGACAAAGGAGAAGGAACGCTGGCGTGTTTTATTTGACACAAATAAAGGAAAAGCCAACCTGTGGCTTAATTTCCATTTGTTAGGTAACAGTATAGCTTGAAATGAGCCCATTTCTAGGTTACTGGAAATTAAACTGAGTGCTGTCAGGCAAACAAATGATGTAGCCGCAAGTTAGCATATAAATTCTGGATAATCGCAAGTGCATAAGCCTGTGCTGGAGAGCCAGAGCTAATAAACACTAGTGAGGGAACAGAAATGAACCTCAGCACAATCATTCCAGCGCCCAGTATTCATGGACAGTGTCACACGTCAAGCAGAGGTGGGAAGAATGTGCCTTTATTGAGTAATTTGAAATGTTGATAGGGTTGTGAACTGAAACTTCTCATTAGCAGCACAGAGATGTGCATGCATGGTGTGGTAAGCCTGTATCCAGCCTGAAACACCAACCAAGAAAAGGTGGGCTGAAGGTTTGTCAGTTAGATTTTCTCTAATGCTTCCCCTAAAACACAAGTTGGTGTTTCCAGCAGAAGGATCTAGGCTCTTTCACCCCAATTTGCAGGAGTAATTAACCTCGCTGACTGCTGCCCTACCCTAGGGTGCCTCAACTCCATGGGTATTGCATTTCTGCTTATCCAACGTAGCGTGCTGCTTTTGGGCATGTCCACAGCTGCCTTGGTTCTTGTGAATGATGGACAACTAACTCTTGGCTTATCTTAAGCTGATTCAGACACAAACATGGCTGACAAAGTGATTAGCGCAGTCAAGCGAGAGGAGGTTTCACATACGTATTTCATGGTCTATTTATTTTATCCATCAACTGTTTCCATTGCACCTAGTCTGGGGCAGCCCGTAGCTCAGCAGTCGTGCCCTCTGCCAAGGCAGGGAGGGAGGCGGCAAGTGAAGTGGGAAGCCGAAACACAAAGCTGTTGCATGTGTGTAGCAAATAACCTATGAAGTAAAAGAAGGATTTTTAGGTTTATCGTGTGCCAAATGTAGTAAGAACTACACTCCTCATTACAACCTTCTCTGCACAGCAACGCTTCACTTGTTTTGAGTATCAGGTCTCCTTGATTCAGATACTCTCTGACCTAGAACACATTGATCGTATTACAGAGATGTGCTTGTTCCCTGGGTATGAAACATTTGTTAAAAATACTTCTGCTCCCTGTTATTTAGATTCTGTGAATTTCAGGATTTCCCCTGAAACTGGAGTGTGGCTTCTGAAACTGGTCTCCATTCTGTGCTGTTGGAGACCTTCAGTGGAGCCAAAGATGTCCTTGTGAGTACGTGGTACCCGGCACAGCCGGGCGGCTGGGACATCAGCCTGCGACGGGGACACTCGGACTCTCTGCTTGGCTTCAGGCGAGTCTCTTACCTGTGTTCCTTGCCTGGCACGAGAAGCAGAAGGATAAAACCATAAATAACTGGGATTGCTCAGGTGCTCAGAACAGCGCAGAGTTGTAGGTCATCGTGAAAAGGACGCTTCTGAAATTGTTAGCAACCGTGGTGCATATGACTGGAATAACAACAAACTGGAGTAGAGAGTGAAGCATTGGAAAGGCTGCGCAGAAAGCAGGCTGTAACTGCAGCCAACTGTGCACTGGAAGTGAAGGAAATTGTGTCTATCTGTAGGGCTTAGCACTGTCACATCTAAATGTTTTAATGACTTGGACCCCAGTATAATTTCAGAAGGACCATGGGGATCATTAGCTTCTTTCCTACCCACAGAGTTTCCGTCTCCACAAGGAAGGCTCCTAGTCAGTGGGTAGCAAAGGCGCTGACATCTGAGACAAAAACACAAATTAAATCAGCTCAGAATGTAACTGACTGAATTTTCTGTCCACAATGACTAAACTCTCATGCCCAGTTCTTTAAAGCTTGAAAATTATTTCTGTCTTTTCCCCTTCTGACAAGGATCTTCTGCACTGTCACCAGAGCAGGGACCCATGACCAGTCTTTACATTTAAACAACGTTACTGAAAATACTGTCTGTGGAAAACAGGTTTATGCTTTGGCAGCAGGCTTTCGCACAGGCTGATAATGCTCCACAGCCAGCTCATCTGTCGGAAAGCACGGAGGATGAGAGGTAGAAAATGCTGGGTTTGGACTGAGCTGCAGACGCAGACAGAAAGCAACCTTCTGCTTGGATCTTGGAGACCAAGACTGCACTGTGCAAGGCTGCCACGGGAATGGATTCAATTACGCTGCAAGCTTTATTACTGAAATATTCAGCTGGGAAACCATAAGAAAACATTTTCAAACTTGATTCCCAAAGTTCTGGAAAAGGAGTTTGCAAGTGTTTTATTGCTGCCAGTCTCAGTACGTGATAAGAAAAGCAAACACTGAGTGGGATGGAGGAGCCTGATGCAAAAGCCCCTTCACATCATCAAGCCCTTTTTCCTGTTCGTAGTCCACTCATACCGGCCCCTCCTGCCTAATTTTATATGTAGCAAGTACAGAGCCACTTTTGTTGAGATCTGTCCTCGCTACGTTGGCAGGAGCTGCTCCGTTGTTAAATCTTCTCCTGCTTCTTCTGCTTACTTACCTCCTTTCTTCTTTATTACATTAAATACTGACAGTCTCCCTCGATATTTATTTGGCATCTTGGGCCGTGCACCAGCGGGGCAGGACATCCGAAGCACTGCCGAGTTACACGCCTAAAGCCTCCCTCGCCGTCCAGCACGCACATGCCCTTACTCGTTCCTACTTGCCATTGCCAGCAGCGTGCCCGGCCATCCAGCTGGGTGGATGAAATTTAGCCCCGGATTCATTCCTGATGACATCTGTGTTGTCTGCTCGCATATGTTCAAGATTAACGTTTAGGCTCTGTTTTGTAATGAGTTCTAAATCTCCCTTTTAGCTGTCATGTAGTTTCCTTGTTTGCTAATTACGCTCGCTTTTGGAAGAAGCCTACGTGCTGCGCGCGGTTCGGCTTGGATGGATGGAAAATGGTATTGTTAGGGCAGATTGCTTCTAAGGGCCGTCTCCCAAGCGAAGCCAAGCCGACGTGTCTTTGAATACTGCAGAGGACCCACGGCCACCTTCAGCCTGCCGGTATTTTGCTGAGCTTGTGTTCTGTCAAACGCCTCTTCCCCAAATAAACGCTGGGAAAACAGAGGAAGAGTGGGATTTTTGGCCGAATCCCACCGGCGGGTACAGCGGCGGGTGGTGCACACCTGCGATGCGCTGAAACTTGAGGGCTACTTCTTATGGGGGGGACCCTTCCATGGGGTCTGCTGGAGTCCAGCCCTCCTCCTCCTCCTCCTCCCGTGCCACCAGGAGTCACTCTCGGCCTCCGAACGGGGCCGCGGAGCCCCACGCGAGTCGGCACTAACGCAAGAAGGAGAGCGGTGCCTGCCTACACCGCGCCGGGCGCTGCTCGGACTCGCTTTTTTTTAAATTTTTTTTATTAATTTGGGGTTTGATTGGTTTGGTTCCCCCCCCAGACACCCCCCTACACACACCGGCTCTGAGCGACGTTTAACCCCCAGAACCTCAGCTCCTTTCCTCCCCCCCTTACCTCGCGCCGGCGGGGCCGGGGTTGGGGGGGGGTTGGTTTATTTCCCCGCCGTGCTCCGCAGGTGCGGGGCCGGGCCCTGCCTCCGCCGGCCCCGCTCAGGAAGTGACAAGCGCATTTCCTCCTCCTTTTCCCTTCCCTTCCCTCCCTCCGCCCCGCCCGCAGCACGGCGGCGGCAGAGGGAGCGCGGCTCGGAGCGGTGCCCGCGGCCGGGCCGCCACCCACCCACCATCACCGCGGTAAGCGCCCGGGTCGCGCTGTCACTCGTGGCAGAAGGAGGGAGGGGGGGTCCCACCGTCTACATCCCGGGGAGCGGTGGACAAAGGGCGGTGGGGCGATCTGCCCTCCCCGGGGTCCCCATATACCCCCCCGCCGCTGCGCATCCTCGGCCCCGCCGGGGGTCTCCGCTTCTTCTCTCCGCTTCTCTCCCGTCTCCGCCCCGGAGGAGCGGGCTGGGGGGGTTTGTCCGCCTTTGTGCCGCCGAGCCCTGCGTCCCCCGTGTGCCACCCCCCCCCGGCCCCAAGCCGGCTTTCGGCCCTGGTCCCGCGGAGGAGAAGCCCGGAGGGTCCGGAGGGAACGGGAACGGGGCGGGGGCCGCCGGTGTGTGGCCGGGGGTTGCTTTGCCGGGATGCTCAGCCCTTGCCGCGGGAGAAAACCCTTTTCGGGATGAGGTCCCGGCGTGCCGGGGGTGTCGCGGGTGGGGCTGAGAAGGTCTCCTCTCCAAAGTTTTTTTTGAGCGTGGGGAGCAAGCGTGCCTCCCCTCCTCGGATTCCTCTGCCTTTGCCTCTCTAATTTCTTCCTCCAAACGCATCGACACGTGCTTTCCTTTCTCCCGGCCGAGAGTGATGTTCAGCCGGGCTGAAACTTGGCAGGTCGGGGGGCTCGGTGCAAAATTCCCCAGGCTGGGGGG